AAAAAAAAAAAAAAAAAAAAAAGTTAAACAAGCCAAGTTATAAATAAAATACGAAGATGCTTGGATTCTTTTGTTTTTTTCCTTTTTGTGGAGAACGGGGTCTTGCTATATTGCCCAGGCAGGTCTCAAACTCCTGGGCTCAAGCTATCCTCCTGCCTCTGCCTTCCTAAAAGCTGGGATTACAGGCATGAGCCACTATGCCAGCAATGCTTGGATTCTTTTATGGGAAGAAGACATCACCCAGATAGCTCTAGTCCCTGCTCCAGCTTTTCTTTCTTTCTTTTTTTTGAGATGTAGTTTTGCTCTTGTTGCCCAGGCTGCAGTGCAATGGCGTGATATTAGCTCACCGCAACCTCTGCCTCCCGGTATCAAGCGATTCTCCTGCCTCAGCCTCCCAAGTAGCTGAGGTTACAAGCATGCGTCACCATGCCTGGCTAATTTTAGAAGAGATGGGGTTTCTCCATATTGGTCAAGCTAGTCTCAAACTCCTGACCTCAGGTGATCTACCTAATATTTTTAGTAGAGATGGGGTTTCCCCATATTGGTCAGGCTGGTCTCAAACTCCTGACCTCAAGTGATCTGCCTGCCTTGGCCTCCCAAAGTGCTGGGATTATAGGTGTGAGCCACACCGTGCCTGGCCCAGCTTTGTTTTCTTAGGGAGTTTGGGAAGGTGCTGCAGGTTGCCCAGGATGGGAGCTTGGAGGGCAGATGAGGGACGCTGCTGTTATGTGCTGCATCCCCTATCCAAGGTCATCAGGATGGATCTCCACATGGTCCTTCACCCCTGGGCCCAGGCCCTGGTGATGGAACGGTAGTCTTACACGGGAACTAGGGGTGACTCAAGAGCAGCTGACTGGGGACCTGAGCCCACAGGGGCAAGAATTGCAACATGGTTCTGGGAAGTGATCCCCCAAGGCTGATGGGAGCTAGACCTGAAATGTAAACAACCCAGCCTTTTCCCAACCAACAGCTCTAGCTGGAACAACCCTAGTACCACCAAACTCTGAGGCTCTGAGAGCCCCCTCCTTAGGGGAAGAGAAAGGGGTGACATTTAACCTCTGGTATACTCGAGGGAAGCCAAGCAGGGCACTCCACTCCCAGGCTGCTCTCAGGGAACTGCAGGCTTGCCCTGACCTGTTCTGGCTGATGCCACAGCCAGTGCCTGGGGAGGCGTGCTGTAGCCTGCACCTCCCTGTGCCTAACTATGCAGGAAACATCCTTTGCCCCTAGCCTCACCTGTAGGATAAACACACCCAGGCTTATGACCCTTGGTTAGGGAGCAGCTGCTTCAGGACTTGGGGAAGGATGGGAGTGTTCTACTTCTGGTGCTAGGAAGCAGGAGGACTGAGGCCAGGCCCCCTCAACCCACAGAGAGCAAAGCTGAGAGAATTCACCTAGAGTAGAGACAGAAGGGCAGCACAGAGGTGGGGAGAATCCACATCCAGGATCTCTGGGGGAAATCCCCTTTGGAATCTTTCTAGAAGCTAGGTGGGTCTAAATATTCACACCCACAACCTCCACCCCATACCCTGGGGTGAAAAATGAAGGCTTAGTCAAGTGAGAGACTTCCCTGGAGTCCAGAGAGCCACAAGGCCTGGAAAGGATGTGCCCCCAACCCTCTCCTCCCCCCAGGCCTAGGCAAATTTCTTTCCTCACAGACTATGAGGTCGCAACCACAGAAGAGAGGACTCTTGTGTCTGCGGCTGGGTGGGAGGAAGGGCTCAGCGCCAGACATGCCAAAGGGAGGAGAGGGCTGTCCTGGAGCTGGTGCAGGACTTTGGAGGCCTGATGGGAGGGACCCGGCTGCGTGAGGCCTGCACCACCCCAGCTTTCCCTCCACACTGGCATGGAGAAAAAAGCAACTATGTTGGGTCAAATAACTCAGTTGGCTGGCTTTGTCTTTGTGAATGAGAGATGCAAGGTATCCCCCTAGGAGAAAGTTAACTGAACACCTCCCGCCTTGGCTTAGGAGCCCTGTGGAGGGGTGGGGGGACCTCCAGCTCTGCAGTAGGCCCTGGATCCTAGCCTCAGGAGCTGCTCCCCCCTCCCTCTAGAAGCAAATGGTGATTCTGGCACTGGGACCGCCCATGACCCACTTAAAACGGAGCCAGGGCTGCCGCCCCTCTGGGCGTAGCAGCGCAGGGGAGGGAAAAAAGGCAAGGCAGTAAAGTTGGCGGTGGGCAGCTCCCCAAACGCCAGGCTCGTTTTGTTAGGGGCGCTCCCTTCTAGGTCTCAGAGGACTCTAGGCTGATAGTCCTGAGAGGCTGACAAGAGGATGACTCCTCCTCCCGACAGTCGGGCTCAGCCTTCAGCCCCAGGCCAGGTTTTTACTCTCCCTGGTCTCTGAGCACTCCGTGTTGCATCTTCCATCACTATTCCTGGGGCCATTACTTCTCCAGTCGGCCTCAGATCCTTTCAGGGACAGAGAGAGAAGAGAGTATTCTTTCCAGAGAGTTTTCTCCGGAGTGGGACCAGGACGGAGGAAGCCAAACCCAGATGCCATCCCCCTTCTGGGGCCCTTCCTGGCCCCTCCCGACCGCACCCAGGCCCTTGCCAGGCTGAGTGGGTTGAGATGGCCCAAAATAAGAAGCTCATTAAATCCGTCTCCCACCTTCACCCCAAAATAAGAGAGACAGAGGAAAAACCTCCTCAGACAACTCCCACGCAGCTTCCTCTGAGGACCGGTGGGCCACCGTCTGGGCCGGGGCGTGTTGAGGGGGTGCCCAAGCCAGCCGCGGGGACGTGTGAGGGCGCCCCGGGCGTGACCCTCTCCCCACTCCCCAGGTGATGCCCCTAGGCTCCCTGCAATTAACACAGAAAAACAATTAACAACAAAATGGGCCTGAAGGCGCCGACGAGGGTGGGGATAGGAGGCGGCAGCGACGAGCGCCCGGCTCACAAGGAGAGCTTTGTGTGCACGGAAACGCGGCCAGCTGCCGGCGCTGCGACCCTCGACGCCAGGGATGCGGGTGGGGACACAGCGGGGTCCTGTCGGGAAGACGGAGGCTGTGGCCCTGGACTCTCGGCCGTCCACCCTCGACCCCGCCTGGCCGCAGACGGGTCCGCGGAGGTCCTGGGCCGCCCCGGGAGGCCGAAGCACCCATCGGAGGGCGCGCCGGCGGGAGAGCGCTGGAGAGCCGGGAAGTCGAAGAAACAACAAACTCTCGCACATGACGAGGAGCCGGGACTGCGCGGGGTTTGAGCGGAGTCCAAATGTTTATCAGGCGGTTCCAGAGCTGAGCGCAGAGCCCAAGGGAATTGGGGAAGGGGGAGTCCGCCCCAGCTGTAAAGTTCTTCCAAGGAATGGAAAAAAAGAAGGAATGGGAAAGAGAGTCGGCGGCGCAGGGGGTGGGGGCAGCTGGTTGGAAGCGGGCAAAAGTTGGATCGATCTGGAAGTTTGGAGACGAAAAGGAAAATGAAAGGGAGGGGGAATCCTGCGGGCCCAAGCAGCCGAGATCCCAAAAGCCCTCCTCTCCAAATAGGGGCTGTCCCCTTGGAGACCCCCGGGCTCGCCTCCTGGCGGGCACGACTCCGGGAAGGGCCGGGGGGAGCTCACTTACTTCGGGGCTGAAGCTGCTGCTTTGGGCCGAGCCGAGGGAGGCGAGCGCGGTGCCGAGCGTGAGCAGGGGGAGCAGAAGACAACGGGAGGGTCGTGGGGCGGGAGACATGGTCCGAGACTGCCGGGTCAGCTGGGCAGTGCGGGCTCCGCGGCGGGGCCCACGCCCTGGGGTCGCACCGTCACTCCCTGGGGGCGCCTTTGTCTTCGGTAGGCACTTGAGTTTGAATTCCTAGAGCGCTGTCGACTTGGAGTTAAGGGGATTGTTCCTAAAAGTGACTGTTCTTCTCCTCTTTAGCGTTTTTGGATCTTCTTCTGCTTAGTCGGCGAACTGGGGTCTGGATCCCTCTCTGGCTCTCTCCTCTGGTCCCTCCCTTCTCCCGCAGCCTCTCCTCCGTCCCCGCCCCCCAAGTGCCCTCCTTTCCGGGTTGGGGACGTGGTAGTCGGAATCCAATTACAACTATTGCCTTTTTGTGGTGCAGAATGCCATCTGCAGGGGTTGAGGCCACAGTGGACAGCAGGGGGCTGTAGGGGGACCCAGGGAAGGGATGTGGGAGATTTTCTCCCCATAAGCATATTTTGGGTGGATTGATTCCTCTGGTATTCAGCATTTATCGTGTCACCTAAGGGTGGGAATTATTGGGGGGTACGTGGCTAGGGTCAACAAGGAGCTCAGAGTGTGGGATGGTGGTGGTGGTGGGGTCTTCTTCCATGCTCATGAGACCTGCATTGAGAGAAGGGGCCTGTTTATTAATAGTTGGGGAGTTATCTCCTGGGCCCTGTAGACAACTATCTATGTCCCTCCCTCTGCTGCCAAAAAATCCAAACTATAACAAACCCATCTACCAACAACAAACCCCACAACCATACTAGATCTGTGGCTCTATCCTTGTAGAAAGACAAAGGTAATTCCTTTGTTATTGTCATTTGTAATGTGGCTGTTCCTTTAATTGGAACATGCTGGGAGGAAAAGGCTACCGGGCCATGGGGTCTGGGGGAAGGCAAAGCAAGTCGGGTAAAATTATTGTAAAAGAAGGGATTGGGAGTTGGGATGCCAGGGTTCCACCTCTACACTGAAAAAGGAGGCAATTCTTAAAGAGTAAAATCGAAAAGTGGAGGTATGTAGGGAAGAGGGCAGGTAAAGCTGATGGTGAGAAAGGAAGGCAAAAGAGAACTATATAGATTTGGAAAAGCAGCACAACAGAGCAGGAAAAGTGTGGGAGACAGAAAACTCGACCATCAGCGAAATCTAAGATCCAAGAATTGCATTTGGTCAGGGAGAGAGGAAAGAGGTTGGTGGGGCGGGAGGAAGGGAGAAGAAAGCAAAGGAAGGAATAAAAAACTGTGGACAGAAATCAGGTCAGGTAGGAAGCTCCAGAAACCTAAGGATTCAGGAAGTATCACACTTTTTTCCCCCCCAAGACGGAGTTTCATTCTGTTGCCCAGGCAGGAGTGCAATAGCGTGATCTCGGCTAACTGCAATCTCTGCCTCCCAGGTTCAAGTGATTCTCCTACCTCAGCCTCCTGAGTAGCTGGGATTACAGGTGCCTGCCACCACGCCCAGCTAATTTTTGTATTTTTAGTAGAGAAGAGGTTTCACTATGTTGGCCAGGATGGTCTTCATCTCTTGACCTCGTGATCTGCCCGCCTTGGCCTCCCAAAGTGCTGGGATTACAGGTGTGAGCCACCAGCCCAGGCCAACTATTGCACTTTTGTGGCAGAATGGAAGTCTAGTGCTCAGTATTGTAATGAAAACAAAGGTAATTTGCCCTCAGATTCATGATCAATAAAATGAAAAGCTTCTCAGGCCCTGTGGAGCCTCCAGGTTTGTGGGAGGTATATGGTATGTGTTATTAAACAGGCATCTCCTCCATAATGACTGAGGGCTGAGCCCTTATGTAGGGCTTTCCTACACAAATGGGTTGGGAGCTACAGGCCCCTCTTCAATCAATCTCTGGAATGCAGTCAGAACCACAGAGACTTCGGAACCCCACTCTTGGCAGAACATGGAACACTCAGGTATGGTTCTTCCCACATCAGCCTTCCCAGTGAGGGTAACCTCCTGGACCACGTATCTGAATCTCAGGAAAACTGACACCAGGTGCTTGCCAAGAAAGGGATCTTTCATGTTCACAGAACAGCTATTTCTCGTAGTTTGGCCAGTCATATGGCCTACAAAGGAGGAGGTAAAAATTTTAAAAGCCAGACTTAGCTAAACTGGAATGGAGCCAGGGATAAGGGCCTAAGCCAAGCCTCCCAGGCAGTGATCTAACAGCTTGTTCTTGGTGTCCCAGCTCTTTTGCTCTGAAGACAGATGGGGAACGTGAAGGCTCTCTTCTGGCTGGGATGAGACATCTAGGTGATAGAAAAGAAATCCAGAGCGTTCGCTTCGGCAGCACATATACTAAAATTGGAACGATACAGAGAAGATTAGCATGGCCCCTGTGCAAGGATGACACACAATTTCATGAAGCATTCCATATGTATTTTTTTTATGTAAAAAAATAAATAAATAAATAGAAAAGAAATCCAGAGAGAGGCTGAGGAAGGGAGGCAGGAGTTGCTTTTTATTGACTTGGCCTCTTCAGTGAAGCCCCTTTGGGTTTAAGAACATTTTTCTGCTTCCTTTCTTCTTGCAGCTTCTGCTGCTTGAGCTGCCATGCCTGTAATCCAGTGTCCATTTCCTGTGACAGCAGTACAACTCGCCTCTGAAAGACAGGAAAACAGTGTGGATAATGTCTGGGGGGTTAAGTTCTATACTGTATATCCTTTCACTCACAAATTCAGAGGTTTCACCTGGAAAATGGCACTGCTGACTCCCCAGTGGGAGCAAGTCCTGGCTTGGGAAGCAGAGGGAGAGAGCAAAATGTACAGCAGGATGTCTACTACTGGTTCCTGCCCTGGGAGTGCCCCACTCTGTTCCTCCCATCTCACAGTTCTATTAAAACCTTTGACTGTGATTAATACAACTCTGCATTAATTAATTAATTAATTAATTAACTCTGCATTAATTAATTAATACATGTTTGCTTAGGTGCAACACAGCTCAAGACAAATTATGATTTAAATGCTCTCCTTCCAGTTACACACAGGTAGCCCTGGCTGGTGCTCTAGCCACTCACTGCAAACTTCTCCCTTTCAGCTTTTCTTCGAAGCTGGCCTTTCATTGGGGGAGCAGGGCGGCCATCTATAAGTAGAAGTGAGAGAAAAGGCAAGTGTTAGAGATCTTGTGCAAATACTGTGATAGGAATAAGGCAAGAACCAATCTCTAGCTTCTCTCTTCCATTTCATATACATTATAGCTTAATTATCCTAAAATATGTCCCTCATCTTCAAGGGCGAGGTATGATAACCCAGGATAACCCAGAATAAGCTCGTGGGCATATTACTACTTTATTTCACTTAACTCTCATTAGCTTTGGGGGTCCTCTGCAATGCGGAATCTACTGTTTTATCTTCAGAAACTCTTAAGCAATGTAATTGCTGTTGTACTAACTATACATCTTTGCTAAATTCCATCCTACTCCACAATGAAATGCCCTCTTTTCCTTTTCTTCCAGCCAAATTTATATCCTTAGGTCCACTCAAATCCTAACTTTCCCAGAAACTCTTTTCTTTTTTTTTTTTTTTTTTTTTTTTTTTTGAGACGGAGTTTCACTCATGTTACCCAGGCTGGAGTGCAATGGCGCGATCTCAGCTCACTGCAACCTCCGCCTCCTGGGTTCAGGCAATTCTCCTGCCTCAGCCTCCTGAGTAGCTGGGATTACAGGCACGCACCACCATGCCCAGCTCATTTTTTGTATTTTTAGTAGAGACGGGGTTTCACCATGTTGACCAGGATGGTCTCGATCTCTTGACCTCGTGATCCACCCGCCTCGGCCTCCCAAAGTGCTGGGATTACAGGCTTGAGCCACCGCGCCCAGCCAAGATCCAGAAACTCTTTTCTAATCTCTTCAAGTCTACCAGCCTTTTCTTCTGAAAGAAGTGCTGATTATTTAATATTCACCTATTTGCCTTGGGACATTTACTATACATTTTTTAGTGTTATTTAGCTACCTCAGGTCCTTTTGGAAAGGGGCAGAGTATTGAAATACTATTATTGTTATTTATTTTTTTTTTTGAGACGGAGTTTCGCTCTTGTTACCCAAGCTGGAGTGCAATGGCATGATCTCGGCTCACTGCAACCTCCTCCTCCTGGGTTCAGGCAATTCTCCTGCCTCAGCCTCCTGAGTAGCTGGGATTACAGGCACGCGCCACCATGCCCAGCTAATTTTTTGTATTTTTAGTAGAGACGGGGTTTCACCACGTTGACCAGGATGGTCTCGATCTCTTGACCTCGTGATCCACCCGCCTCGGCCTCCCAAAGTGCTGGGATTACAGGCGTGAGCCACCGCGCCCGGCCTTATTATTGTTATTTTTGAGACAGGGTCTCACTCCGTTGCCCAGGCTGGAGTGCAATGGCACGATCCCAGCTTATTACAACCTCTACCTCCTGGGCTCAACCGATTCTCCTGCCTCAGCCTCCTAAGTAGCTGGGACTATAGGCACATACCATGGTGCCTGGCCCTGAAATACTATTACTTAATTTTTAAAACGTCCATGCTTTGTCCCAGCTAGACTTTAAGTTACTTGGGTCAGGGACTGTGTCGCTAGCTTTTGCTATTCATAGTATAGTATAGGCACATAAGCATGTTATTAAAAATCCAGAAATATTTGCTGATTTGCTGAAAAGATGCAGTATTTGACCCAAGTAGCTTATAGTGGAGATGAGGAAAAAGGACACTTATTTTCTGCAAAGAAACAGTGAAAACTCCGCCTAAAAGTTTGAATGCAAGACAGAGAAGAGGTGTTATTCATCAGGAAGGAGAACCAATATTGTGTATGTGGTGTGCTTTACATTGCTTGTTTCATTTTATCCTTATCAGAACTATATGAGATAGTTGTTCTTTTACAGATATGGAAACTGAGACTAAGATAAAATTAAGTAACTTGTCCAAGACCACAAAGTTAGCAAGAAGGGAAGCCTGGATTAAGAATAAGGTCCATAGGCTGGGTGTGATAGCTCACGCCTGTAATCCCACCTGAGGTGGATCACTTGAGCTAAGGAGTTCAAGATCACCTTGGGCAACTTAGCAAGACCGTGTCTTTACTAAAAGTAAAAAAAAAAAAAAAAA